TGATTTAATGTCTGGTCGAAATGAATCGATAATATGTCGTTGTTGAGAAGTTTGATCGTACAAACAAAATGTGACCTTATAATTGAACGGAAACTTGAGAATTGGATCATTCAAACCTCTCATGAGCACAAAAAAGAGTGACATATGTGTACGACGAGCATTTCCATCGCCATTCAAATACAGGCGAATTCTCATTTTATACCCATTTGGAGACGAATAAAATGGGGGTGAATAAATTGATGTTTGTCTTTCGGACTGTGCATCAACTAAAAATTAAACCAAAAAAAAAATTATGTCAAGAAGAGCAAAAAAAGTATAAAAAAATTTAGTTGATCGACAGCAGTAATGATTCGTGTTGTCAATTCATTAATATATTACTCATAACTAGTATTGGAGTATAATTATACATATATAATGTTGAATGTAACGTTGAATCAATTACATATTATTTGTCGATGTTATAGAAACCGAATAATATGTTAGTTCTTGGTTATCTTCTAGGTAAGATTTTCTATTTTTATCATCGGGTATAGAAGTAATGGGTCATCTTACTCATTTTCTCGTGGAAGTTTGCTATTTTCCAAACAAGTGTTCCATCATAGAACACACATTGTAAACCATTGATTTTTTCTTGCAATGATAATAAATCTTGGTTAAGAATGGCTTGATTATGTCTGACTCGTTCCAAAAAAGCATTTGACTCTTCAACAGATAATTTAACTTTCGAGAATTCTTCTGCCAGTGTTGGAATTGCCGTTTGCATTTGTAGTGCTTCATTGGCTAGGCATTGTTCATCATTGGTCAATGTTTCGATACCACCTACTAAGATACTAAGCATTTCATAAAGCTCTTCTGATTGAGCTGTAGCAGGATTACAAGGTCCCGCAGTTGTTGTTCGAGAATGCTCAATATCCATTTGTCTGTCGTTTAATTGTGATAACATTTCATGAACAGCATTGAGTAAAGCATGTTGATGTTGTTGAGTTGAATAATGATCTTGCATTTCACCACGGATAATCTAAATAACATGAATTTTTCTATATTGATTTCATCTAGAGAATATGCATACTCGTTCATTACAACCAAAATCTATCGATATACAGTCAACAATGAGATATTGACATTTGAAGACTTTATGTTCATTTAGTTTGTTAATTGAATTGAACTGTTCGCCACAATAATCACATTTGCCATTTGAATGAAATTGATCAAGATGTTCCTTTTGAACACAAAGAAAAGAAGCTTTATGGATAAAATAAATATAAAATAAATTACTTGATAGTTATTTAAGATCCCAGTCCACTGACAAAAAGAGCATTCAATGGGCAGCGTTTTCATGTCCATTTTGAAGTCTCGATCAAGTAGTATCTGTACAAAAGAAGTATATTTTCCCTTTAATTATGAAAAGATATCTTACGTCACTCTTTAATGTTTCTGCTTGGCATCGCTGGCATTTAATTGTCGTTCTTGAAAGAGAACATCGAACAATAATATTTCAAATTGATAATGAAACTTACTCTTGTTCAATATCTAAACATGTTTGACAATATCGATGACCACATTCGGGTAATTGCATCGGATCTTGTAGTATAAAGTTACACACAGAACAAATGTATTTCTGGTCCAGAATATGTTTATTTTTTGCATCGATGCCTACCATATTCTAATTTAATTAATATGAAATGAACGATAGATATTAGTTAGATACAAAACCAATTTACTTCTATCTGCGTGATTTTTTTTGCTGTTTTTTTTATTAGTCAAAATATAAATAGAAAAAAAGTTTAGAAATTTTGATAGAAGCTAATAAACAGATTACCTTTTAAACAAATGAACAAACAAAAATAATATTTAGTAATCAACTGATGCAATAAATAGTTTATCTAGAATTCACATATTAGCATTAAAGTATGATAACGATTTTAAATTTTCAAAATAAAAAATAGTTAAGAATTTGATATGGGTCCATTCACTTCTATTTGATCAGATCTTGCGTTCATTGTCGATGCGTTCAATACAATTTCAATTGTAAATCGATCATCACTGATAAAAATCACTTGAACGTCAATATGTATATCAAGACATTTCTCTAAATTCAGTTGAGTCCTATTTAAAAAATAATTGAATTATATAGGCTCGTTTAAATTATGGTAATTATTCATAATTTGACTAATTTTATACTAATATTACTGATATTGATGACGTTGTCACGTTTTTCCTTGAATGAATGATTGATTGTGTTGTTTATTTTGTTTATTGATTGAGGGTGTGGGTGTGGACGTGAGTAATAAGAAGACAAACAGCCACGCCCACACTCCTTCTCATTCGTTGTGATATATTCGAAATAGAAAAAAAACTTGTTAGCGTAGCTTCTTTGGGGCTGAAATATGGAACTCACATATGCTTTCTAGCCTCATTGAACTGATACAAAATACGTAAAATAAAAAATCTCACGTAGACTATAGCTCTTCTGTAGGATAATTGATCACCAGAGTAAGTATGCCTCTAATTGCGAACAGAAATTTTTGTATTGTTTCTATGTGCACTTTTTTTCTGTTTGCATTGTTGCTATTTGCTTATTATTTTTCATTTTTTGAAATTCGTTCTCCATAATTTAAAATTCTTATTACTATAATCATGGAGTTAATTGGCAAATGAGTCTGTCATAGATATTAGTGAAATCTACAGAAGGTCTCACGCAATTATATATTAATCAACTAACAAACAATGATATTTATTATTTTTCAAAATCATAACTGGATCCATTTTGCAAAAAGCTTTAGAAAGTCTAGTGCCTGTTATTTTCGATTGCAAAGGGCTTCGACGAGTGAAGGAGAACCCTTGTTGCTACGTGTCTGTATTGGGGAGGAGAAAAGGAGAGAGCCACAAAACGTCAACTTCAAAATTGCACTCACTATTTTCTTCGAAAATATATGTGAGTTCCACGAAATATGTTCGGAAGTATAGATAGATGTCCTACTATTCCAGTAAATCATGAAGTTTTCAAGGTTATAATGTTTTCTTCATTCACTCATAAGAAAAAGCTTATCTACTATAAATGCATATGTAAGAATTGAGAAAAAGAATTTGGTCCATGCATCAATATTTTTGATATTGAACAATAATGTGCAATGGGTCTTTCTTCGCTCCACAAAAGGGTGTGGGGTGTGGGGTCTGGGTGGGTGTGGCTGTGAGTGGTGTGGGTGTGGGTGTGTGGGTGGGTGTGGTGTGGGTGTGTGGGTGTGAGTGTGGGTTCAATCAATGACCATCCACACTCCACACCCCAAAATTTTCAAAAAACTAGTGAATAAATATTAAACCTTTATCATTATTAAAAAGAAGATTTTATACTTTTGTTTAGTCTTCTGTGAAATCAATAATAATTTCCTTTTTCCGATTACCGATAATGTGTGACATCTAGGAAATATAAGATCTGATGTAGATCCGATAAATAATCGACATGCATTCTTCATCTTCTCTTCTGCTCTATCTACTAAGGCCTTGTCTACATTATACGATTTAATACTGAATTAAGGAATCTGATTGGTGTTGCCACGTAGAAACACCAATCAGATTCCTTAATTCAACATTAAATCGTATAGTGTGGACAAGGCCTAAACCTTGAACTATTCTCTTTCGATATTAGTACGATGAATCACGAGTTGATCACGCCGTAAACATATTCATTTGAATAACAAAAATAACGTCAACTGTTTAATTAAAATAGACCTCTTCCCTGTCAATAATCAACAATTATTATTATTCCTACTGTTCTTTTCTTCTTTTGCAATGGCAACAAATCTGTATGGTTTTATTCTTTTGTGATTTATTATCGTTACTTTTTTTTATGAGTAAACCAATGATGAAAGAAAGAATTTTATTCTATCATAGTTAATAATATTTACTGTTTTATTATTTGTCAACAAATTACATTATATATAAAACTTTTGTTTTTCTTTATGGATTATTTATAATAAAATAACAAGACAAAAAACAAAAGAAATCAAAAATTATGATTCGTCGAGTTATCTATGATGTTGAATTTTGTGTACTTGTTAAAGAAAACTTAACTCCATTTGATAGTGTTCTTGTTATTGGTTCATGTGAACAATTAGGTGAATGGTTACCAAATCGTTGTATACCATTAAATCGTTCGGATAAAATAGATCAAGGTGAAAATATGGTCAACTATTATTAAAATTTATGGACCACAAAAAATTTTTTATCGATATTTAATTGCACAAATTGAACGATTTGATGATGATTTAAATTTAATTGTTAAAAAAATGTAAGTTTATTAAATAAAAACAAAAATTTATTTTATATTAAGATTATTGTTGTTTGGTTTTTCTTTATATAGGGAAAACATTTAAATAAGCACGTCAATTATCACTTAATCATTGGATGAATGAATCCAATGATGGTGCATCATCAATTGTTAATTCAACAACAGTTGATTATGAATTACCTGATGAATTTTCAGCTATATTTGGTTGTTATAAAGGTGAATGTCGTATTGATATTGGTTGGTTAACAAGTCAAAGTGAAATTCAACTTCGTTTTCATTCAAATGCTTTACAAATTTGGTCATCAAAATTACGTAACAGTAAAATATCATTAAAAGTTTCACCCAATAGGTATATTATCCTTTTTTCGTTTTAAATTCTACTAAAAATTTCATTTTAGATTTAAATTACCAACAAGAAAATGAAGAAATATCATCTGATTCACCAGGTCAAATATTTACACCAACATCAAAAGTCTTTATTCAAGCTGCTTTATTACGTTTATCAGGTTGTGAAGCTAATATTCAAAGTGATTATGATGCTTTTATTGAAAAAGATGATTATATGATTGTTAAAATTCAAACATTTGAACCAGAAAATATTGCATATCATATTGATTTTTATCTTGTTGATGAAACAACACCATTACGAAAACATATTGGTTTTGCATATGTTTTACCAATACATTCAAATCTTGAATTAGCAGATAATAAACATCTTCATCGTATTGTACCAATTATTGGACAATTAAAAGTTGATGTTTTATTAATAACACCATTAGAAGGTGTTCAACAAAAATTTCTTGTTTCAACATCAAAATATTAGCGTCAAGGTTGACGACCAGTTAATGTTGGTCATTGAGGTTTAGGTATGAATATAAAAAAAAAAGAAACAACAAATCAACACTTTTTGTTATAGGTAAAACAAATACTGAACATATCCCATCGAAACATCAATCATTATCATCAAATGATTTAAATAAAAAAACATACAAATGATTCAATAACACCACCACCATTTCCATCGGCGACACGACCTGTTCAAACAAAATTTGTTAGTGAAAACACATTAGCTTCATTTAAAGGTGCATTTCAGCTTGGTTTTGATTTTGTTGAATTTGATGTACAATTATCAAAAGATAAAATTCCTGTTGTTTATCATGATTTTCAAGTTGCTATTACACTTAAACGTAAAGGACAACAAGCCGAATTATTTATTGTACCAGTTAAAGATTTAACATTACCACAATTACAATCATTAAAAATTTATCATACAAGTAAAACAGATGTATCAAAAGTTGATGAAGAATTAAATGATGATGAACAAACAAATACAATTAATAATAATAATTTAACATCAACAACAGTAAATCAATTAAAACAACAACATGATGAAAAAAAATTTCATTTTTTATTTCCAACATTAGAAGAACTTTTTGAAACACTTGATTTTCATCTTGGATTTAATGTTGAAAATAAAATATGCTATGGAATATCGACATGGTGGAAGTGAACAAAATCATTATTTTGAACGAAATGAATATATTGATTGTATTCTTCGATGTCTTATTAATCATGGTAAATAGAAAACAAATCGATATTTTCTTTCTTTTAATTTGTCGTTTTTTTTTTGTTCTACTTAGGTCTGACCAAAAGTTCTAAGAACATTAAATAGTAATAGAAAAATAATGAGATATTTTCAATATTATTTTATCAAATGCTGAGTATACTTGCCATAATTAATTATATCCGGGCCAATCCTTTCTAACAATTTATTAAAAGTTTTTTTGACCTCTTTTTCTAAAACAGTTTTAGCTACCTTGGATACCACATGAACTAATTATATTTCATTTGTTTTTAAAAATTGAATGGAATTTTGTTCGATCATGTCAATTGTATTCTAGCATTACTAGTGATATGATATCGATTTATTTTAGATAGGTTAGTCCATAAGTCATCTAATGCTAACTGGCTTATTGAAGATGAATTGTCAAAGATTGTTGTTCATGAAAACAGATTTTAACCAAAACTTTGTTTAGTATATTCTTTAAATCAAATAAACCTGAGTGTAGATAAAGTCAAGATTGTAGATCACAATTATTAGACTGAAAACTGCCCGAAGCCTTTTGTTAATGACATATGGAAACAAACATGGACATTCGATTCAAAATGTACAAAATTGCTTGACGATCATCGTTTACTTCATAATCATCCAATGTCATTAATTCTATGACAGAAGAAGACGTCAATATAATGTCATATCCAACATATTCGCCAGGCCTGATACTATATAATATTTGGCTAAATAATTCTATCGAATGTAGTTTAAGTGATTAAATAAATGAAACATGATTAGATCATGTGGTATCCAAGGTAGCTAAAATTTTTTTAGAAAAAGAAGTCAAAAAAACTTTTAATAAATTGTTAGAAAGGATTAGCCCGGATATAAATAATCATGGCAACTATGCTCAGCATTTGATAAAATAATATTGAAAATATCTCATTATTTTTCTATCACTATTTAATGTTCTTAGAACTTTTGATCAGACCTAAGTAGCTGGTAAACGTGTTATTATTCTATCAACATTTGATCCTGATTGTGCATCAATGCTTCGTCTTAGACAAACATTATTTCCCGTTTTATTTTTAACACAAGGTGAAAAAGGTGATTGGCACAATTTTTAGATGTTCGAACATGGTCGATTAATATTGGATTATATTTTGTTATTACCGAATATTTATCAGGTTTAGCTGCACCAGCACTTGATATTCTTTCAAATAAAGAATTTGTTAAACAAGTTAAAGATAATGGAAAATTATTATTTATTTGGAGTGATGAAGCAAGTAAGAATTTTCTTTCGTAGAAATTTTTTTAAATTCTTTATTTTTTATTTTAATTAAGGTGATAAAGAAGTATCAAAATGTTTATTAGAATTACGTGTTGATAGTTTAATATTTGATCATATTGCTGAACTTAAAGATGAACATTCTACAACAGAAAATTCCTTTATTTGTAAATAATACTATTGAATGAAAAACAAATATTTAGAATAAATTTTTGTTTTCTTGATTTTAGCGGAAGAACGTGAAGAATTAGAAGTACTTAATAATTTTCGTCAAAAAACAACTTGAATTACAACATCGTCAATTATTACAAGAACTTGAACGATTAAAAACAGCACGAGAAAAAACAAATTCACCAATACCATCACCAACAAATCAAATATCTAAAACATCTACAAATTTCGGACAAGATCAATTATTAATAATAGATACAAATTTTAAACATTTAATGTGACTAGAAAATATTAGTGAATATGCAAATATATTTCTTCTCGTTATTCTTTATATTTTTTTTTTGTGATAATTTCATTTTTTTGTCTTCTTTGTTCCATTTCTAAAGTTTTCATTTAATCCTATAGTTTTTTTAAATAGAAAAAACCTCATCAATAACATCCTATAGTGTGATTAGCTATTAATAAAATAAATATATAGAATAAAATTCCGATGAAATAGAGAAGAGATCTGAAAAGAAAATTTTTCGGTATTTTATTATAGATCATAATATCAATCATATTGCGTATTATTAATAGTTTATTAGGGTTTTTAACTCGACCGTATATTTATATCGAAAAAAATATTCTTATTAAATTTCAATCTAGTTTACCAATACATCTTGATGAAAAATCTTGGTATATTCTATTTGGTTTTATGACATTTATTATTGACTATATACTTAGTCGATGTATAACATTACAAGATGCCGATAATGATCCAATTTATCAACGTACACGATTATATTCAATGTAAAAACAACATCAAAAAGTGACTTAAACAACAATAATATATTTATAATTTTGATTTTTTTTGTTTTCTATAATTATTTTAAAAAGATCTAATCAATATTAAATACTTCTCAATCGTTGATATAAAAACCTAATAAAAATCAAATACATAATATTAATTGTATTCACAGTTTCGTAATCCTCATGACTCCGAGAGAATCGAGCATCACTAACGATCAAATCAATCGAAAAAAAATAAATGTTATTGATTTCTAATCCAAGCAGAAACACATTATGTTTGGACTTAAAAACAATTAAGGTCGAGTGTCGATTTACTTCCGGACCTGCGAAACCGAAATTTCGCATCCTAATGCTTATGGCTCATGAGGAAGGAGTACAATGGTAAAGCCCGAAAGCGCGGCTCGACCGATTTACATACATCATTTACCTGTATTTATGTTAGTTGATGGTACATGTTGTGCAATTATTTTTTTTTCATTCTGTTTTATATTTTGTCTCACGAACAATTTCGCAATCGTCAAATCGAAGAAAGAAAAAAAACATATGAGTAGGAAAAAAAATACATTATTATTCAATAATAAATCAATGATTTATGAATTAACTTTATTATTTTTTGTCTTTAACAATTATTATTATTGTTTAGTTTTACAAAGAAAAGGCGCACATATTAAGTAAATAAATGAATGCTTGCTGTCGATACTCATTCTCGATTGTATTGTGTTCATTATGTATCATCAAATATTGATTGTCTAGATTGTCGTTTAACTGAAAAAGACTACATAAATCGACCACTCCATGCTCTTTTATATGTTCTTCTACCGAATTTATCTACTGTACTTGATAATTCACAGCACAAATTACCTAATACATTTTATGTACCATTCAATGAGAAAAACAATAATTTTACCAGATCTTCGCTATTAGATGATTGTGTCGAAATAAAGACAAAGAATGGCATTGTTCGAATACCTCGATCAACACTTGTTCATCGATCTCGTTTGAATGAATCTCCTACATATAATAATCAATTGTCAACGAAAAGTTCTGCTTGTAATTCATAACAAGCATTTCTTGGTGATTTTCAAAAACATGTACATCGTTTTACACGTAATTTTAGTTGGAAAACTAAACCAGAAGAACCACCATTTTCACAAATGCAACCATTACCAAAACTTATTAAACAACCGGCTTATGTAGAAATGTGTTGTAAAAGTTCGATAAATAATACGATTGACTTTTATATTATTATTAAATACGAATTATTTTAGATATTTGTTGGCCAACCCATCAACTTTGTTTGTGATGTGGTCGAAATACTGCTGAAAGTTGTTGAAAATGGTCGAAATCAACAGGAGAATATGATTATATCGATGCATGTTGATCATCATGTGCATTATGTTCAGATGATGCATACAAAATACTTAATACACTCATTGTTTATAATGAGAAAATTATTGATCCTGAAGTTCTATTACCACTTGATGCTGAATTACTCTATTATTCAATACAATCAACAAAACGTCAACAAGAAAAACAATAAAAACGTTCATCAGAATCTATATCTGGTCAACAACAGCCACAAATAATAGAAAATCAGCAAGAAAATACGGTACCATTTGTTTCTGGCAAGAAAGATATACCAGCTCAAGTGAAAACTACAGTAGATAAATCAGAAAGATCACTAAAAGTCAAGTCTTTAAAACGTGTCAAAGCTAAAAAATCGTCACAATCCATACGAAAGAAGACAAAGAAGAATAATAGAAAAAACCTACTATAAAAAGTCTAGTCGATCACGAAGTCGTTCTAAACGAAAATCACAATCGAAAACATAATCTGTTTGTTATATATTCAATGAACAAAATTTGTGGTTTTATTTTTGTAAAATTCCTTCGCAGAGTTATCTTAGACAGGTATGTACTTGAAATGATTGTATGATATCTTTGCTTGTTGAATTTATAATAAATTGAAAATTTATATTCTTGTTTATAATTTCAATAAACAAAGTAGACAGCGAGATATGCACATATCTACGGTGATTACTATTGATCTTTTGTATGATATGTGAAAACAAGTAATACACATATTTTTCGTTTCTTTTTTGTATACTATAGAAAAGTAAATAAATACAATCTTGATAACAATAATATATCACACGGTAATAATCAAACATTTGTTGTTATTCTTCTTTTTTCAGATTAGAAATCGTTTTTTTTTTATCTATAACAATAACATGTCGAAAGAACTTATCAATGTTGAACTAGTTGGTATTCCATTTTCTACATTTACTCGAACGATTCGTTTAGGACTTGAAGAAAAATCTATTCCATACAAATTAATCTTTGCACTACCACATACAGATGTTGCAAATAAATATCATCCATTTGAACGTATACCTAGTTTCAATTTTGAATATGATGGTGAAAAACAAACATTAATTGAAAGTGCAGCTATTACCAATTTTATTGATGCTATTTGGCCTGAAATTCCTCTTCGACCATCTCGTATTTCATCGGATTTAAATGATATTTTTACAAATGCTCGTATTGATGAACTGATTTCAATAGCTTCTAATTATGTTTTTAACAGTGTTGAACCACCAGTTGTTAAAGCTCGTCTCAAATTTGAAAAAGATCAAAAACAAGAAAATGAAATTGTTTGTCTACTTACTGATTCTGTACAGCAACTTCATCAAATTCTTACTAAACTTGAACAATATTCTGCACTTAAAGACAACAAACAATTTCTTGCTGGTGATAATATAACATGGGCAGATTTTTTTTGCTATCCACCTTTAGCTGATCTCCGTGCTATTAATGAAGGAAAATGTATTCAAGGAGAATCGGCACAATTAACCAAATTAGCTGCATGGATGAATCGAATGGAAACTATAGAAAGTGTAAAGAAAACAATGAAAGATACTTTACAAGATGGTTGGAGACCACCATTTCTTAGACTTTAATTAATGATACATTTTTTTTATTCATAAAGTGTATTAAATTGTCAACTTTGTTTTTTCATCATAGATAAGGACAGCTTCTCATAGTCGATAGGACAGAGCAGAAAAAAATATAATCTATTAGAAATCTAATACACTTGTTGAAGATTATACAAAGTAAGACAGAAGAATCATGGATTCAGTCAACGATGAAATCGTATTGAAAGCCTTGATCATATTCTCTTGAGAATTTCATCATTGTTTATCATGCTTGTATTATCATAAGTTTAAAAAAATAAAATTTTACACAAACATAAATTTACGAAGTTTTTACAAGCTTTTTTTTTCTACGAAAATAATTCATATTTATTTTTAAAAAAATTAAGAATTTAAATATCTATCTAATTTTTCATTTTACATTATCATATATTTAGTAATAAAAACAACTTATATACATAGTTATCAATTGAGTAGTAATAGTAATTATTAATGATGAATATAAATTTTGTGCAATATTACAACCATCAAATACACCAAGTGACATAGAACCTTGTAGACGAATAGAGCCAGTCCAACGTTGAAAACCTTTTAATCAAAAATTGCCTGATATTTCTACTGATTTTGTTGATTCCATAATATTATCAACAACACGTGTACGATAATAAATAACAGTATTTAAATAAGATGCATTAGCATTACCATCAATACTTAATATACGACCACTAATTTTTACACAGAATCGAGCCGGAAATGTTCCATTCTTGCCCACAGATGTTGCCTGAATAAATTCAAGATTCTTATGCTATTCATTTGAAAAGTAAATTAGTTTTTGTACTCTCAAGTGCCCTATGCCCCCATCATTTATAACTAACTCTAGTATTGGTAATTAAATTATTCAATTTGTGTGCTCGAAGGAAAAAAACTAAACAGACAGAAAATAATTACTTTTGACATAAAATCGACAAGGATTTTCTTTTATATATATGAAAAATTATTTTTCTTTAAACAACAAAAAGAATCATCAAATCTACCTCACAATTAATGTGAATTGGATTAATTGATGATGAAAATGGATCTCAACAACCATCATTTTCTGTATTATTTGTCATACATTTATAACATGCTAAACCTTGATTAGATATCGGTTTAGTTAAAACAGAAAAATATAATATCAATACACTAAATTGTTCCCAATACTGGATATTTGATAGCATTGTATTATAATCAAAACAAAACTTCTATATTGACATACAAGAAAAAATCAAATTCGATCAAAAAATTTTCCATATGAATAAATAACAATACTTACCTGTCTCTTCTATTTCTTGCTCAGTCGTTTACTGGAACGTTTTGTATGGCACTAAGTGATGGTAAACTTTTTTTTGAAAACTAACAGCAGTTGCGTTTCCTTTTTCCCTTGCGTTCAACGAGTCATCATCAATAGGGTGCGGGTGTGGGTGTGAGTGTGTGGATGTGGGTGTGAGTGTGTGGGTGTGGGTGTG